CCCCCCCTCAGTACAGGTGGTGACGGGAGGCTCATACCTCAGCTGACAGGTATATGTCATTAGTCGTCAATGTCTACACCTTAGCACTGTGTTTACTGCCTAGTGCTCCACAAAACAGGAAGTGTTGTTGGTCTCTCTCTCTCTCTCTCTCTCTCTCTCTCTCTCTCTCTCTCTCTCTCTCTCTCTCTTTCTCCCTCCCTCTCTCTTCCCATCTTCTATCTTCTTCTTCCTCTTCATTTTTGGTATTCCTTATCTTATCTCTGTACCTCTTCCACACTTATTTATTTTTTTGGGTGGAGTAAAATTGTGTGTGTGTGTGTGTGTGTTAAGCGTCCCTATAGTAGAGTGGAACATCTTTGTGGAGCGTTATTTTGGTAGAGTGGAGCACCTGTACGGAGCATTGTTTATGGTAGACTGGAACACCTGTGGGGGATCTCTGGCTGGCTCAGTTATAAAATTAAGGCGTAAAACACTTTGTCTTAATGTTGGTCCGTCGCTTCATCGACCTTACACACGCACCTCCACACACTCACGTTCACCTGTGTGGTCCCGCTTGTGCGCCTACCTGTGTACACCTGTGTAATCTTAACAATGAGTGGTTTGTGTACGTTTTTATCCTTTTCTGTGTGTATTTATGTGTGTTTGTTTTTATACCTGTGCGTATTTGTTTGTTTGGATAATCATACGTGCATATACAGTATATCGCATATAATAGAGTGTACAATCCATACATACATACATACATACATACATACATACACCAATGAGTATTTATGTGTAACTTAGGAAAGGAGACGATTACTGTATCCTGTGACACATTTGGCTTCTGTTGTAACTCACGTGACTTCTGTAAACGGTGCCGTGCTTCTCAGGATCTATACTTATTGATAACTGTATTGAACGTAACTTATTTCCTTTAGTTGTCTGTCTGTTGAAGATGAAGACTCTGATGAACTGTGATGCTTAGTAAATTAATTAACCTCTTCTTTACTACTTACTCCTCTCTATGTAAACAACTTATCTTCCCTGATACCTCACCCCCCCGCCTCATACCCCTCTTCCCTTCCCCCCATATATCTCACTTCGCACCCCCCTCCCTAATTGTTAATTATATATTCATCTATGATCACATAAACCTCACAAAATGTAGTTCCAATGACACAAATATGTCAGTTTGTGTATGCATTCATCTATCAGTATAGTATTGTATTAAACTGTTCATTATAACATCCACACATTAATATTATGTTTATTTACCTTGTGAGTGGTGTCGAGTTCTTGAAAAAAATGTCCGGTGTTGTATTCGTCTGTAAGTGGATTTGGTATGAACGAGAAGCGAAGTGTGGAGGGGGAGGGTGAACTGCTGCCTTCACTAATGTCTATCTCTTTGTCAGGATAATAATCACTGTCATATTCCTCTAAAGTGTCACCTGGCAGATTATCGTCACTTTCTGAGTAATATTCAAACTGATCTTCACTATATGACGTGTCTAATGGAGCCATGACTGTAGAGAATATAACAAGTTTTGCCCAAACATATCACAACAGAACACTGGCCAGCAACATGGCGTGAACTACATAGTCAAACACGAGTCATTTTCAGGGTCTTGTAAAGTAGAACTCTATTCAGATTTAGAGTCAATTAAAAATCAGTTTCAGGTATTCCAAAACATTTTCAGTCAAACGCCTCCTGAAACTCTCATACAATACTGAAATTTATCGCACTGAAGGGAAGCTTTCATGAAGTTGGCACCCAAAAAAATATATTGCGATACCTGATACTGCTTCAGTTTTTATAAAGAGCAATTACTGCATTCTATTACATCTGTCTATTACATTTTTTCCCTGATGGTAGTGACGAACAGGTGTGTAATTTTACCTGGGTATCGATTACTCCTAAGTGGAAATATAATGGCATTTGTCCTGCTAGAGGGAGAAGATCTTGTGGTTAAGGTGGAGGAATGTGGTGGACGGAGGCCTTTGGGATAGAGGAGTGGAGGAGGAGGAGGAGGAGGTAGAGAGCCAGGATGATGTACAGGAGATGCTGAGTGATGTGGAGGAGGAGGGGGCAGAAGAGGAGGCTGAAGATGAAGTAACTTGGCGGAGATGGATTTGAGGAGGTGGTCCTTGACCTTTGAGAGAGAGAGAGAGAGAGAGAGAAAGAGAGAGAGAGAGAGAGAGAGAGAGAGAGAGAGAGAGAGAGAGAGAGTGTTACACATCTCAAAACAATACTCCAAAACAAGAACCATCCCACAATCACCCTACAACTTACCATAAATTCCTACCCACCATCATGACCACAATCTACCTTACAACATTTAAAGGAATTACAAGATGAATTACGTCCCTGATAGTGTCTTTAATACATGTTATATCGTCTTTGAGTCAATGTGTGTTTCTTAACGACAAAACTAAATCCATGGACAGTCGGATACCTTGTATTTGTACCTGTGTCCTCCACTCACCTCCGTTTGGGTTACCTGGAGACAGACTGAGACTGAGTGAACGATACTTTAAGACCATTGGCTTCAGAAACACTTAAATCCATTAAAATCCACACTAATCCACTTCATATCTCCGGGTTTTTTAGCTGATATTTGAATCCAGATTTCTCTCTCACTCATCTCCCAGAGTCACTTACAACACACACTTACGCTACTACTTACACAGCCAAACAGCGTCAATGTAGATGAGGTCATTAGCGATGTACTGGTAATTACTAACTATACCACAGTCTCCTGCACCACACTCAACGATCCAGTTAACAACATAAACCGACTCTAAGATAGTTAATGCGCTTTAAAAACAACTTGTAATATCTGCTAATTACTGGTTCCTCTCTGAGTGCTTGTATAATGTACCTGTTTGCCGTGGCTGTCTCGTCCACACCAACACAACAATCGTAATTTTTTCGCTGTTTTCGTTGCATGTAAATTACTGTTTACAATTTTTTCATGGCTGTCATTGGCATTATTTTGTGCTTTTGTTTTTCTTTTACAAATGTTATTACGTGAAGAACAGACCTAATGTTGCTGTTATTATTACAACAAACTGGAACAAGTAGATTCTGGCTTTTGTTTATATATATAAATTTGTAAACAGTTGTGTACAGTCGTGTATATCCTTTTAACACTGTCACAACTTAGGAAAAATATATATATATACTTTTATTTCTCCTCATAGAACATAATTTACAACAAAATACAACCATTCCTGTGATGTTATTAGAGTAAATATAATTGGTATTTTTAATATGAAGAAAAATATGTATATTATTATCAGGTTAATATACTCGTATGTGAGAGGAAGGAAGGTATTTTCTTGTGTTTCATTAAGTTTTCATATGGATTTTAATGTGTAAATTTATATATTGTTATTAAAGGAGGATTGAAAATATGTACAGGTTAATATATATATATATATATATTTATATATATATATATATATATATATATATATATATATATATATATATATATATATATATATATATATATTTATTTATTTATTTTTATTTTTTTAACATTTCGTAACTATTTGGGTTAATTTTTAAAGCGTTATTAGAAGAAGGAAGAAATTTATGTATACAGGTAGTAATTTGAGTTAATATTTTGTAACTGATTTGGTTTGTTCCTAAAATGTTATTAGAGGTATATTAAGTAAGATATTTACTTGGTAAAGTAATATTTTTTAATTGTTTTTCTTTATATATTATATTAATTTTTCTTTTTCATAATTTTCATAATTTTTATATCTATTTTGTCTTTTTTGTTTCTTTTTCTTCATTTTTTATTTGTAGTTTTTCCCCTTTTCTCGTTTTTTACTTTTCATTCTTGTTTTTCTTTTGCTAATTTTCCCATTTTTCATTTTCTTTGGCTTTTTAGTCACCAGTTTCTCTTACAAATCTTCTTCTTCCTGTGTGTCTACCCGTTCTCCTCCTCCTCCTTATTATTCCTTTTCTTATTAATCATAAAACAGCTGGTTGTCTCTTAACCACAGAGCATCGTATTATACAACAAAATTCAATAAATGTATAAATAAAATAAAATATAGTACAGTAAAATGATCAATTAATAAAAGAAATATTTACGTGTTAATAAAAATAATACAAAAACAAAGGTAAAGATAATATATGAATTTATTTATGATATTCAATACAGTAATGTAATTAAGTAACTTCATATGTGATGAAAATAATAATAAATAATTAAATACAAATAAAAACTTAAAATAATGGTAAATAAAATAGAAATAAAGTATAACAAGTGGAAATATGATGACAAAATATGTGAAACTTAAAACAATGGGGTTAATTCATGTAGATAAATAGAAGGTCTTTGTTTATAAGTCTTGGGACATATAAACATACAGACAGGGAAGACCTCAAGCGGCGGGGGTCGGAGTGAGACAAGTGTTGCTAACTAGGAACTCATCAACCTCCTCGCAGGCTCCATCGTTCACGCCGTAGGTATCCGCGTCCAGTTCCTCACGCCAGCGTTGGCTACACTACTTCAATATTCTGTGTTAATTAGTGTTTCGTAGCATTGTGTATGGTGATGTATTATTATGGCAGAATAGGTGCAAATTTACCTGTATATTGGTGTATTTTTTGACGAATATACACACACACTCAAGCCACTCAAGCACACACACACACACACACACACACACACACACACACACACACACACACACACATGAAATATCCTTTTAAGGTAAATAATAATTATAATCATTGAAACCTTTAAAGATAGTATTCAACCTAGCCTAACCAGAGGTAATTAGGAAGTAAATGTATACAAAAACAAGTCTAATTTTCTAAACATTTGTCAACAATCAAACTTAACAAAATCCACATAATCGCACATATTAATAAATTATACTTTAAATTATCAAAATATATATCAATTAAAATTCTAAACTTCATAATCCCAGGAAGTAAAAATTTGCAAAAAATAAAAATAAATAAATAAATAACCAAAAAATAGACTACTTTAATCTCAAAATTTTGGCGAAAAAAAAATCGCAAACCAAACACACATTCGTACACCTGAGTTAACTTAAGTCCCTTCCGGTTAAGATTTTCACTCCAATACCGGCAGTAATATATAGGTAACGATGACACATACAGAGGTGCAGTATGTATCATGTATCACCTACACTTGTTATCATTTAATTATGGTCAGCTCGAGTGTACATTAGCATAATACCACAACAATTTCTCTGACAGTCTTTAATGGTTCACTTGTTACCAAATGTTACCTACAAGTTTTTTACCTCTCAGATGAGTCCGTGGTTGGTTGACAGCGTATGTGGGGAGTTGTGTGTGTGTGTTTGAGGTAGGTCCGTGTTCGTGGTTGCTTGTGTTTGTCCGTGGTGGGTTGTCAGAGTCCGTATTGAGGTGTGAACGTCCGTATTTACACATACATACATACATACATACGTATATATACACATTTTCTTCATATACACACTCAGATAACATCGTCTTTACACATACACACAGTCTGTCTATCTGTGTGTGTGTGTGTGTGTGTTGTTGCTTCCAGCCATCTTGCGTTATCTGGGAATAAACATAAAAATAGTGAAATAATTGTGTTTCTTTTTTTAAGCAGAAAGTCTACTTGTTATATATTTGGTTGTACAATACATGCCGTTCACCTTGTGGGTTTGATCTGGGATTTGATGTTAGGGTAGGGTAGACTAGGCTACTTTAGGTGTTGTTACGTTACTTTGAATTAGGTTAGGTTAGGTTAGGTTAGAGCAAGGTCAACAGTAATCGATGTTGTTGAGTCTCCAAGACGTGTTCTTGCAGGCGAGAGCAACTGATATTCCTACTCCTAAATAATCACACACCTGGCAGCAGCGGTCTATTTTACGACGTATATTACATTATTACCTGATGAGATTAATAGTATATCTGACTCGTAATTATCTTACCAGGCTGAAGGGATTTACTTTGTTACCTATATTGACTCTTAGGTGGCAAGATTAATCGAATACCTAAGACGAGATTATATCACCTGGTAACACTGGTACAAGTTGTTACCTGTATTACCTGGTACTTGGCAAGACTAGTCATAGCATGTATTTTTAATTCCTACTTTATTTACTAGGCAACACTGGTTTATATTTCCTATAATAACTTTACGTGGCAACAGTGGTTAATACACCTATTTCTATTGGTTGTTACCTGGGGAAAATAGTAGCTAATTATGTCTCTATATGCAGTTAACTGTCGAGAACGGTCAATTTTGGCGTTCATTATATAGGCTGTAACTTGGCGGGAGTAATCGATATTGTTGACGCAGTGTTGTGGTTGGTCCTGGCGAGTGTGTCCGATAATCCTCTCTGGTAACGCTGATCGTAAACAAAGTTATGTATAGTGTTGTTCAGGTGACTAACAAACAAACAAACAAATACATAAATATAAATCAAGGAATAAAAAATAATATAATAAATTTAAATGTTATAAGTGTATTAACGTTAACTATAATAATAATAATAATAATAATAATAATAATAATAACAATAATAATAATAATAATAATAATAATAATATTAATAATAATAAAAATAATATTAATAGTAATATAATAATAATAATAAAAATAATAGATAATAATAAAAATAATATTAATAGTAATAATAATAATAGTAATAATAATAATAGTAATAATAATAATAACAATAATAATAATAATAATAATAATAATAATAATAATAATAACAATAATAATAATAATAATAATAATAATAATAATAATAATAATAATAATAATAATAATAATAATAATAATAATAATAATAATAATAATAATAACGATAACTAGAGAATACCATTAACACTTCTTTAACATTATATACAGCTATATATTGCAAATAAAACTCTTCAATAACATGTATATAACTATTACATACCTATTACATAAATAATTATTACATATATAGCTGCCTCGTATCTACCTAACACGTATATACAGTATACGTACCACATATCTACCTATCACTAATATCTACCTGCCACGTACATCTATCTACCACGTATCTACCTACTATATATCTACCTAGTACGTAGTATATCCCTGCAGGAAACACAAGAGGTTCCCATAGTCTACCTTGGTGTACCCACTATTACCTCTTAACCTATTACTTCCCTATAAGCACTTAAGGGCACTATGGCAGGATGCGCGGAGTTAATTAATGCTGGAGTTTACCTGTGTACCGTGATGTATGATATGGCGCACACACACACACACACACACACACACACACACACACACACATTTTTGCAGGTTTGGAGGTGTTGGAATTGAAGGAGGTTGTTTATTTTAGTTTTTGGTTTAAATTAATTTGAAGTTATTAAAATTGTTGGAGATATTTAAAGTTTGTTCTTGTTTTGCTTTTAAGTCGTGTTGATAAAATTTATATTGGGGTTATCAAGATTGGTCATGTTAATTTTGGAGTTGTGTTTTCAGTCGAATCGGTCCAAACTAATTTAGGTTAGAGTGAAGACGATTAGATATAAAGTATAATTTTGTTAGTGCTTTTTAAACTAAGTTGTTAAAATCGGAGAAATTATACTTTGAGTTATAGAAAGTGGGTCGAATAAAATTTTAATTATTGATATATAAATTGCACAAGTTTGAGTTATAAAATTATGAGTTTCTCATAGTTAAAGTTTTATAGGACTACGGGTAATAATTTAGGAGATATAAAAGTTGGAGTTATCAAAATTTAAGTTAATAGCATTGGAGCTCTTGAAATTGAAGTTGTTGGAATTAGTTATTAATCTTACTTAAGAAAATTTAATATTATTGTAGTTAATAAAACGAGTTAGTTTATGCTGCAATTTTAAATTTTGAGTTTTTAGAATTTTAACTTATTATTATTAGGTTTATAAATTCACAGAAATATATACTTTTGATATCACTTTTAGCACCAGAGCTATTAAAACTGCAGCTACTAAAATTAACCCATTCACTATAGGGACGCCAGTTTTAATATTTTATTAGGTTAGGTTAGGTTAGGTGATTTTATTCAGCTCAGAGAGGACCCTGCACACAAGAGGTTAATAATTATCAAACTCACTCTTATATACTGGATAAAATTTGAGTTATAATTTATAATTTATGGAGCTATTAAAACAGGAGACGTGACAGGAACCCATGGAGGCTGGCTTGTACGTGTTGGCAAATTAATAGGCCTACACGGACCATTAGGAGGTAATTGGGGGGAGGGAGTATGGTGAGGGAGGGAGTATAGTGAAGGAAGGAAGGGATCATGAGGGACGGAGGAAGGTAATGGTGAGGGAAGGAGTATAGTGAAGGAAGGAAGGGATCATGAGGGAGGGAGGAAGGTAATGGTGAGGGAAGGAAAGGGAATATGGTGACTTAAGAGATTAAAAGAGGGTAGGGAGAACGGGAGGTGAGAGATGGTGAGGGTAGGGAGGAAAGAAAGGGTGAGATAGGAAGGAGAGGAAGGAGGGAGGGAAGATGGGGATGAAGATGAGAGAGAGAGAGAGAGGGAGAGAGAGAGAGAGAGAGAGAGAGAGAGACATACAGAAATAAATAAATATGCCACACGAATAAAAGCAAAACTGAAGAAAAAATTTATTAAAAAGATCATAAGTAAAAGTTTAAAAGGAAGGGAGTGTAGTTAGTGTAATGTGAACCAACAGTACCTGGATAATGGCCAACAGACTCACTATAAAGTAACAGACGTCGACCATCTCATCACCTGCTACCTGTCCTTAATTACTTAATGTGGATAAAGCGTTGATAAATAATTCCGGTATTTATCTTTCACGCTTCAGCATTTGTTACGAGGAGATAGGAAGCTCCGGGAGACCAGACTGACTTACTGATGGTGGTGGTGAGAAGTGGTGGGGGTGCTGGTGTTGGTGGTGATCGTGGTAGTGGTGGTGGTGTCTTTGGTGGGTGGTGCTGGTGTTGGTGGTGATCGTGGTAGCGGTGGTGGTGGTGTCTTTGGTGGGTGGTGCTGGTGTTGGTGGTGATCGTGGTAGTGGTGGTGGTGTCTTGGTGGGGGTGCTGGTGTTGGTGGTGATCGTGGTAGTGGTGGTGGTGTCTTTGGTGGGTGGTGCTGGTGTTGGTGGTGATCGTGGTAGCGGTGGTGGTGGTGTCTTTGGTGGGTGGTGCTGGTGTTGGTGGTGATCGTGGTAGTGGTGGTGGTGGGAAAAGTCAAAACACTCTGATTGGTTGATTATCATGATGATTTTGTCAAGAAAGGTTCTGATTCCCTGATTTCCCAAGATGTTTTATCTAGAACGAATCAAAAGTGGTCTGTTAATAAACTGTTATTGTCGAGAAAAGAACATTTAGCACCTCGCTATAAGAAATATTTGACATATCTACCAGTGTATGTGTTAAAACTTCTTAATTAGGTGATGCCCAGGTGTTTACTTCAATCAGGTGGCCACTCAGGTGATACTCAGGTGTTTACTTCAATCAGGTGGCCACTCAGGTGATACTCAGGTGTTTACTTCAATCAGGTGGCCACTCAGGTGATACTCAGGTGTTTACCTCCATCAGGTGGCCACTCAGATGATACTCAGGTGATACTCAGGTGTTTACTTCAATCAGGTGGCCACTCAGATGATACTCAGGTGTTTACCTCCATCAGGTGGCTCACTCAGGTGATACTCAGGTGTTTACTTCAATCAGGTGGCCACTCAGGTGATACTCAGGTGTTTACTTCAATCAGGTGGCCACTCACTCAGGTGTTTACATCAACCAGATGATACTCAGGTGATACTCAGGTGTTTACAATCAGGTGGTTGATACTCAGGTGTCCATCAGGTGGCCACTCAGGTGATACTCAGGTGTCAGGTGGCCACTCAGGTGATACTCAGGTGTTTACATCAGGTGGCCACTCAGGTGATATTCAAGTGTTTACTTCCATCAGGTGGCCACTCAGGTGATACTCAGGTGATACTCAGGTGTTTACTTCCATCAGGTGGCCACTCGGTGATACTCAGGTGTTTACCTCCATCAGGTGGCCACTCAGGTGATATTCAAGTGTTTACTTCCATCAGGTGGCCACTCAGGTGATACTCAGGTGATACTCAGGTGTTTACTTCCATCAGGTGGCCACTCAGGTGATACTCAGGTATTTACTTCAATCAATTAACCGTTGATTCAGGGAGTGTAAATATCTTGGCTCTGATCTGATGAGAAGAGAAGCGTGTGTGAGTTAAGGTTGGCCGGTGTGAGGAGGAAGATGCCGGTGTGTGATACAGGGGGGGTTATATTAATAAATTTATATTGTTTATTACCGCCCGGGCATCGCTCCTGTCGTCTTGTTGATTATAAAACAGTATATTGGCGATCTCTCGGTGTTCGCCTTTATCTAAGTTTATATTTGGCGATCTCTTGGTGTTCGCCTTTACCTAAGTTTATATTTGGCGATCTCTTGGTGTTCGCCTTTACCTAAGTTTATATTTGGCGATCTCTTGGTGTTCGCCTTTATCTAAGTTTATATTTGGCGATCTCTTGGTGTTCCCCTTTACCCAAGCTTCTATTTGGCGATCTCTTGATATTCCCCTCTATCCCTCTTTCTACTAGGTTAGATATTTATAATATTTGCCTACAAAAATTTAATATTAGGAACCACGGAAGACGTCTTCAGTGACAGGAGATCAGAGTTACTATCAACAGACGGCTGGCAGACAACACCATCCACTCACCTTGTTTACTTCTTGTCTAATATTTTCCTCATAACTTTTAACATTGATCAGACTCGTGTGTTAAGAGAGGACGTATCAGTGCCTCCAGTCCACCCTGTGTTGTGTGTTTCGTGATGGTAATGCGTGTTAGAGTTAAGACTATAGTGGGGGTTTGTGTCTCTGTATGGGAGTGACCGCCACCCCAATGCCGTCGGCGTCCGTCCAACAGAGACACACCGCTGAAGAAGTCACACAAACACACACCAGGTAGTTAGTCTCCCCCTACGTCCACTGCATCATGTCTTCACTCACTACTGCAGGAGTAACTAAGAGTCAGGATAATGTGAGATTCTTTTAAAAATTAAATTAATCTTTAAGACTTTACATGGTCTTAAGTAGCGACATTAACATTGACTTGATAACAACTTCCTGTGTACGAGTCCTTGTATTTATGTAATAATATATGATAATTATGTAAAAAAAATGGAATCGTAGTTGGTGTTGATAATTTCTGTGAGAATTAGAAACTAACCAAGTGTGAACACAAGTGATTTTATTTATTATTATTTCTTAAAGGTTTATTTTTACTAGCTGTTCGCCCTCTCTCAAAGTATAACTTAACATGCGTTTTGAGGATGAAATTCTGAACCAGGAATAATTTCTGATTATTGTTATGATTGAGATAAACAGAGACAGTGGAGGAGGGTGGCCTTGTGGTACCCCAGCTGACCAAATTAGGAATTTCTCTCGTGTTAGTAAAGGAATGTTTTAAGTTTCTGTATAAATTGTCAGACACGGCCGTATGCACATATATGTACACTCATATTAATGGTTAGATATTTGCGTGTCACATTATGTATTCATGTGTGCACCTGTGAGCGTAACAACAGATTACCTACATGACATGTACACATATTATGCCGCCTATATCCGTCTCATGCAAAATTAATATACATGTGCACGCATACTGTATATGTCCATATTTTATATATACTGTATATATATATATATATATATATATATATATATATATATATATATATATATATATATATATATATATATATACAGTATATATATATATATATATAAAGTTTGCATATGATTGATGGATCTTTTATCTTCGCTATTTATTAATCATTATTATTCGGCTTTACTACTGTGGATATCTCAAACAAATAGTTTGTTTGGAAATTATATTATGGATTCTAAAAATTACATGTATATATATATATGTATATATATAATTTATTAATTTTTTAATACATAAGTTAAGGCTCTAGGAGCTTGAGTGTACTCCAATATGGCAGGTAATAACGAGTAAATAATGAAGATAACAAAGGCAACATAATTAACGTAGTATAAATAACTAATCTTGTTCTTTAGTTGTGTTAGATAATTTTGATATACATAAGTTGATAGTTAATAGTGTGAGAGTGTGTTAATAGTGTGAGAGTGTGTTAATAGTGTGAGAGTGTGTTAATAGTGTGAGAGTGTGTTAATAGTGTGAGAGTGTGTTAATAGTGTGAGTGTGTGTTAATAGTGTGAGAGTGTGTTAATAGTGTGAGAGTGTGTTAATAGTGTGAGTGTGTGTTAATAGTATGAGAGTGTGTTAATAGTGTGTTGAGATGTTACAAGACACTTGAGAACATTCCCTACACTCAGGTGTTAGTTACAACTCGCTCCTAAAGTACACCTTGATCACGAGATATATTAATGCATACTTACATACATTATAATATACTGTATATATGTATAATTCAACGTCATTGAAAAATGTATACAACCTCTGTATAGCTCACATAATATACACCAATATAAGAATACAGACGAGGTTCTGTTTTCATCCCGTCCATATCAGAATTTTTTATCAGTTCAACTTTCCCGAGGGGACCAAATTACGCTTAATATCTGTAATATTCTGCCAGTGATATATATTGATAATTTATATTCATAACACTCCATCAATAATGGCAATATCATCGTCTTTATACAAATTATCAGATGCAGGAAATTGCATTGAAACTTCACACTAGAAAATTAATAGTTTCTACAGAAGACAAAAAACAATATCTGTGTTGGTTACAGGAGGATGAGGATGAGGAGGAGGAGGGGAAGAGGAGGAGGAGAAGTACTGAAACATGGATAAACAGGTCAACAATAATTTATTTACGATACTTACATCAAAGGCCAATAATTATCACCACAGAGACACAAGTGACTTAGAGAGAGATGGTTGGTAGGTTTGTACACTGAGCCAGGAGCACACTTGAGCAAGGAACTCATCATTACAACTTAAGCTGTAAGACATTCTCATCCACCCAGTCAATTTACTCAACCCCGTGTGTGTGAGCTTCCAAATGTAGGGATTTTTTTGTGTCGTTTAATCTCACTATCGTGGGTATTCACTGAGACCGTCTCATGACACCGATACATTTTATATGACAGTCAAACGGCGGGAAATTGTCCATAAATGTCACTGACACTGTCGAAGGTAACATTTACATCTAAAATATTCTCTTTCGTGACATGGTATTTCTTATTCATGGAAGTAGGTAGCCAGGGCTGAGAACTCCACAGTCAGGGAACACCACAGTCAGGGAACACCACAGTCAAGGAACACCACACAGCCACTCACAGGAAAGTTCTCAACCGTCACGTCAAGCAGGACTGTCTTGGGCTCCTACAGTTTCTCACTGAGGCTGACTGGATAAGGTGTGGTGGTCCAGCTTGCATCATAATGACCAGTCAGACATTAGGAACAAAGGCATAGCTTTAAGTCGTTTCTCGAGGCGTCAGTGAGAGACTTGTCACTCTCCTTTAACAGTAAGTGTTTATTAGAGGACAGATGCAACTCGCTTCACATGCCCCAGAAATAACCGGAGACTGAAACAATCAACTTATTGCATATTTACAATATACCAGAGTAAGTTCTTCTCGACCCCAACCTTAGTTTAGTAATGTATCATGACGTCAGTGATTGCACGCACACGCACACTCACACGCCTCACGATTTTCTGAGTTCCTCGTGTGTGGGTGAGATGTGAGGAGGGCTGGGGGAGGAGGGGGTGGGAGACACTGAAGGCGGCGCTGCAGGCGGCGACCAACACGACAGCTGCAGCACGCTGTACACTACTGACCACCAGCGATCATGTTCACTGTATCACCTGCAGCGTCCTGCAGTGTTGCACAACATGTTGACTTGTGGTTATAAACACTGAGTTCTCCCTCCGTCTTGTTTACGTTACACTGAGGACTGCCAGCGTCCAGCGTGTACCCTAGGGCTGGGCTAGGGCACCCTGGACCATGGTGTAAGCCCTGGGCGTCGGCTGCTGCCCTTCGAGGCGGGCAGCGCGTGCCCCGGGCCTTATGTGACGCCTGTGATGCCTAAATTTAGTGGCGGCGGCGGCGGCGGGCGGGCCAGCACGGGGGTAGGCTTGATGGGTCGGGGCAGCACAGGCGGCAGCGCGGGCGGTAGTGGCGGCGGCAGGTAGGTGAGGGAGTGTAGGAAAGGGGCCGCCCCCCAAGTGCCAGGGTAGATGAGAGGCGGCGGGTATAGCAACGGGGGCGGGAGGCGGGCGAGGCAAGGTGGCGGGAGGAGGTGTAGATGCGGCGGGATCTCCCCGTGGCAGGTAGGCACAATCACCTCACTCGGGGGCTTGAGCGGCGGTGGCGGTGGAGGTGGCGGCGGCACCCGCTGGGGAAGTCTCACCTGCTCTTCCACGGAGCGTGGTGGAGTGCTGAGCTGCGCCAGGCCGGCCTCGATGGCGTCCTTCTCGTCCCTGGGGATCTTGAAGCGCTTCCTGCGGCGGAGGAAGCTGCCGTTCTCGAACATGTTCATGGCGGACGGGTGCAAGGTCCAGTAGGCGCCCTTGCCGGGCCTGTCGGGGCGACGGGGGATCTTGATGAAGCAGTCGTTGAAGGAGAGGTTGTGTCGCAGCGAGTTCTGCCACCGCTGAGTGTTCTTGCGGTAGTAGGGGAAGTTGTCCATAATAAACTTGTAGATCTCCGCCAGTGTACACATCTTTTCCGGGCTGCCCCAGATGGCCATGGCGGTCAGGGATATGTACGAGTACGGCGGCTTCTGGTCCCCGTAACTTTCTCTGGTAGGGCGAGGCATGGTGGGCACGGAGGGGGGCAGTGCCCCCTGAACCTGTAAGTCCTAACCCACCCACTTATAATGCCGCGGGCGTGGGCGTATGTGCGAGCAGTTTTGTAGCGTAGGGCGCACTGACTCTTGCAGATGCCGTTGCAGTTGACCGCCGCGCGAGTCACGTGATCAGGTGGTGGCCGCTGAATGGCTGGCGCCGCGGGGGGGCGGGGCTAGTGCATGCATGGCCATGACGCCCGGCCCCTGCATGGCAGCCGGGACCCGCGGGGGCGTGGCGTGGGTGCCCTGCACGTGGGTGTGGCCTGGTGTGTGGGCGTGGCGGCCACGACGAGGCAGCTCAGGCAGTGGCGGGCACAATTGGGCAACATTTGCATAGTAATGAGGTTCTTTGAGCTGCCCGCCCCATGCTCACGGTGTGAGCCCGTCCACCACCGTACTCCACCTGCGGTACTCCACCACCACCACACTCCACCTGCTGTACTCCACCACCACCACACTCCACCTGCGGTACTCCACCACCACCACACTCCGCCTGCGGTACTCCACATGTAGTACTCCACATCTATCACACTCCACCTGCTGTACCCCACCATCACCGCTGTGTGATCAAACTCAACCTAAAGTATTCCACCTCCATTGATCCATTATCCCGGTGCTACATCCCCACCACCATACTCCACATGCAGTACTCCAGCACCACCACACTCCATTAGTTTTACTCCACCACACTCTACTACAGTTCACCACCACCACCACAGTCCACCCTACCACATTGCGAGAGTCCACCTTCCACTTCCGTCGTTACCACCACACTCCACCACCTCCGACGCTGAATACGTCTACTTTTCTCCATATACTTCCTTCCACCTTACGGCACTCCACTCCACTCCACTCCACTCCACTCCACTCCACCACCAACCATCCAAAACAATCACTACCTCACCACCACTACCACCACCTACTCACCATGACCAACCATCCACCATTACTATCACCACCACCACCTATCCATCACCTACCCACCACCTATCCATCACTCCTAACCCACACCACTTGGCCTTAGCTCTACCATATGCCCCTCCTGTGTGGTCGCTTTCAGGTATAGTTCCCACAATACATGAATCTTCCACCTCCCATCCACCTCCCATGCCCTGTCTTCCACCTCCAGTCGTATACTCCACATCCATTTTGACCATCGTTACTCCGCCTCTAGTTCCACCACCTTCTCCTTCACTTCCACCTCCACTTCCACACAATTTCCACTTAGCTTCTACTTCATCCTCATCCCTTATCTCCACTTTACTCCACCACCTACTTCTCCATTCCACTCCACTCCAGTACACTCCACTCACTACCTCCACGACCAACACAACACATTACCTCCATCACCTACTTCTCCACTCCACTCACCACTACCTTTGCCACTATCCCACCTCCACACTTCCACCTCCACCCTACGACCGTCCACACTCCCTCCTCGGCCAGCACTGGAAGGTTCAACAGCAGGTAACCCACACCCCATCTTCTTCATGGTGGTAACCCTTTATAATCACATCATTACAGAGACGCACGAACACTCACCATCCCGACACGAACGTTGCAGCGTCCTCGGTCTGTTGCAAGTCAGATGGGCTCCAGTTCTAATAGGCCCTAGTCGTGATAGAGCCCAGTCCTAGTAGGCCCCAGTCGTAATAGACCATATTCCTGATAGCCACTGGTCCTATTAAGTCTAAGTCCTTACAGGCCCCAGTTCTATTAGACCCCAAGTGCTTGTAGGTGTCAGTCGTAATATTCCCCAACCCAATATAACCTAACCTAACCATTTAGGGTGATGCTCATTAGTACTTGTTCTCAGTCATAATGGGTAGGTTAGGTTAGGTTAGGTTAGGGTGTATTAGGATTGGGACGATCAGTATTGGACGATTGGACCCTATTAGGACTGGGGCCTATTACCAACGGAGCTTACTAGGACTGGATGCTATTGGGATCCAAGGTATTTTTTTCACCTATTCCCTACAAGTTATTCCGAATTATTTTTCACGCCTTTGTGACTGAAATTCTTTTTTCTTCAAGTATTCCCTGCAACAAGTTCTACTATTACTATTTTTTTCAAATATTTCTAACAACTATTACCTCATACAGACAATACCACTATTCCGAAATATTTTGTTTAACAATTTTAATTGCCAGTATTACTATTACTTATTACATAATACAAAATCAGCTAATGGTCTCGCTAATGTAGCGATTCCAAAGTATTAATCAATGCTTTGTTTTCAACTTTCCACTGCGACTCATAGAAAGTATTACAATTCCAAAATAATTCCGTTTCCCTTTACAATAATAACTCATTTTCTTTATCTTTCACTTATGTAATATTGTTTAAGTAGCTCCTGTAGTAACACGTATGACAGCAGAGTCTTGAATAACACACCGTAAAGCCCTACCAGCAGCCGTCCGCCCCAGCGCCGACGAACATCTGGCTGTACTGGTGTGAAGCTCTCGTGGAAGATTTCATTAATATTGTAGTATATTTTCGGACTCCATAAAGGCTTTGAACGCTTACAACTAGAAATTATATGTTTTTTAATCGTATTTTAAGTAATTTTATTATTATAGTTTTTAGATTATATTTAGAATTATTTAGTTACTTTATACAGCGACTAGTGCTAGTAATTCCAGGTATTTTTCAGTTAATTCGTGCAATAAGAACTCCCTTATTTCTACCTATTTCCACGATTGAAGAATATATAATTAACTCTTGTGGATAATTTCGACTTTTTATAATATATTTCATTTAACCAATACAGCTATAGTTCAAAGTTGCTGTTATTGTTTTAGTTAATAATTAGCTATCTTCTAAAATTCCCAATTAATTTTAACTAATACATTAAAATTATATTTCTGTAAGGTAAACTATACCACAAATTAAAACTCAATTCTTTAACTATTGCGATCAGAAATTCCCAATCATGTTCGTATTATAATTTTAAGGTATATTTTAATTAATTCTTAACTGGATTATATAGATCAGAGGTGAGGATATGTCATGAAGAATCTCCCCTTGTGTGACGCCTCGGTGCTGCCCTGGACACACTGATCGGAACACCATCAGGAGGGAACAAAATAAGAAGAGGTTCCTGGCTTTCCCCTTGAACGACGCCGCCTTAATTATAACCGTGAAAATAATCGAATGAAAACTTGTGATCCCAGATATACGTAACTTTCTCCCTCCTTCATTCTATTCCTCTTTTTTTTGCAAACAATTGTCAATTATCAATTAACGGCGGCCATAATTCAGGGTGGAGAGACTATAGTGAGATAATCCGATCCGTAATTAATGAGAACTTCACGGCGGGAGGCAGCGAGCTTTTCACACAAGGATTTTGACTCCGTCCTTCATCAGGATTTAGCGGGTTAAGGTGTCCGTACGTCCGTCTGTGTGACTGTCTGTCTTTGTCAGTGTTATGAAGGTAGATTTATGAGTTCCCTGGTGTGAGTCTAGTCATTTATGCTCACAGGTGTTGCCAACTGACGACGACCTGCCGGGGACTACCTGACGCTTCATTTATGATAACGTGATGTATGTTTTTGTAAAATTTATTCGATGTTTGATTGTTTTTCAGATTGTATTCAATGTTTGTGACCATTTTAATTTGAGGAACCATTTTTTTGTAATACTGAAGGAAAATTAACATGTATTCGATGTTAATCTCGTAAAATATTCCCGACAACAGAGTAATAGTAGAGAATATTTACATGGACGAGCGTTTTATATTATGTATTACTCAAAAACTCACCCAAATATAAAATAATACCCCATGCTCCCATATATTAAGTGAAGCACAAGACTTATTGAAGATACTCGTATGATCACTTCCATAACCACACTACCATGCCTTAGTACCTCCTCTTATACGGTAGTTATGGTGTTCCCAAGGGCCAAGCGTAATGCCCTGGGGAACCTCATGAGACAAGACGCTGCTGGTGGTGGTGTCGGCCCTGTCGGCTTCTCCTCCTTCTGCTTCTCCTCCTTCTGCTTCTTCTCCTTCTCCCCTGGCCGACCAACATACTCGACCAATCAATCAATCACCCACATACATACATACACGCACGTACACACATAAGCACATACACAAACAGGCCTTCAAAGATTATTCCTCCACACAATTATAACACAAACACACACACACACACACACACACACACACACACACACACACACACACACACACACACACACACACACACACACACACACACACACACACACTTGACTGACAACTTCCTCCCTCCCTCCATCTGACCATCCCTCCTCCTGCTTAAAACTCTCCTAATTAGCCATCATTATATCTCCGATGCATAGGTTAAGGTCCATTCGATTCTCTCCCCTGTAAAGAAACCCTTAGGGAAGTGGGTTAAACTGAGGGAGGCGCTGAAGGGGACGCTACGGAGGGTGAACCTGATCTATGGAAATTAATATTATAGATTGTGTTGTAGTGAGGGAGGTGGAGGTAATGAGAGGCCAAGGGAGAGGCGAGTGAGGCCAGGGAGGTAATGAGAGGCAGAGGGAGAGGTGAGTGAGGCCAGGGAGGTAATGATGATAGGGGAAAAATCTGTGCTTATCTCCTCTGTTTAGGGAAGTTTATTTTAAGGTTTGTATTAGAGGGAGTTTAATGGATGGTGTGTGTGTGTGTGTGTGTGTGTGTGTGTGTGTGTGTGTGTGTGTGTGTGTTGTTTATGACTTTTTATGTGTGTATTATGCGTGTATGTACAAATTCCCATGTAAACACCTGGCGTAGTATATGTACGTGTATAAGTTACCATGTATACACGATTATTGGCATACATGAGTGTATTTATGTGTACATGAATGAAGAATATCACTAATGCACAGATAGAAAGAAATACCTGTAAGTTACGGATAAAATAGTTACACACACATACACACACACACACACAGAGACACACACACACACACACACACACACACACACACACACACAAACACACACACACACACACACACACACACACACACACACACACACACACACATAACACACACACACACACACACACACACACACACACACACACACACACAC